CCAGCTCTCCTGGATTCCTTTGCCCCTCATGTTATTCTCTCAGGGGATCCTGCCCATCAGTTCCCTGGGGGAGTCAAAGTCTGCTTTTCTGAAGTCCAGGGTCCGTATTCTGCTGCTCTCCTTTCTTCCTTGTGTCACGATCCTGAAGTCAACCATCTCATGGTCACTGCCTCCCAGGTTCCCATCCACTTTTGCTTCCCCTACTAATTCTTCCCTGTTTGTGAGCAGCAGGTCAAGAAAAGCTCTGCCCCTAGTTGGTTCCTCCAGCACTTACACCAGGAAATTGTCCCCTACACTTTCCAAAAACTTCCTGGATTGTCTGTACACCGCTGTATTGCTCTCCCAGCAGATATCAGGGTGATTAAAGTCTCCCATGAGAACCAGGGCCTGCAATCTAGCAACTTCTGTTAGTTGCCAGAAGAAAGCCTCATCCACCTCCTCCCCCTGGTCTGGTGGTCTATAGCAGACTCCCACCACAACATCACCCTTGTTGCTCACACTTCTGAACTTAATCCAGAGACTCTCGTGTTTTTCTGCAGTTTCATACCGGAGCTCTGAGCAGTCATACTGCTCTCTTACATACAATGCAACTCCCCCACCTTTTCTGCCCTGCCTGTCCTTCCTGAACAGTTTATATCCCTCCATGACAGTACTCCACTCATGTGAGTTATCCCACCAAGTCTCTGTTATTCCAATCACATCATAGTTCCTTGACATAGTTCCTATGCCAGGACCTCCAGTTCTCTCTGCTTGTTTCCCAGGCTTCTTGCATTTGTGTATAGGCACTTAAGATAACTCGCTGATTGTCCTGCTTTCTCAGTATGAGACAGGAGTCCTCCCCTCTTGCGCTCTTCTGCTTGTGCTTCCTCTCAGTATCCCATTTCCCCACTTACCTCAGGGCTTTGGTCTCCTTCCCTCGGTGAACCTAGTTTAAAGCCCTCCTCACTAGGTTAGCCAGTCTGCTTGCAAAGATGCTCTTCCCTCTCTTCATTAGGTGGAGCCCGTCTTTGCCTAGAACTCCTCCTTCTTGGAACACCATCCCATGGTCAAAGAATCCAAAGCCTTCTCTCCGACACCACCTGCTTAGCCATTCATTGACTTCCATGATTTGACAGTCTCTACACAGGCCTTTTCTTTGCACAGGGAGGATGGACGAGAACGCTACTTGTGCCTCAAACTCCATTATCCTTCTTCCCAGAGCCACGTAGTCTGCAGTGATCCGCTCAAGGTCATTCTTGGCAGTATCATTGGTGCCCACATGGAGAAGCAGAAAGGGGTAGTGATCCAAGGGCTTGATGAGTTTCGGCAGTCTCTCCATCACATCATGAATCTTAGCTCCTGGCAAGCAGCAGACCTCTCAGTTTTCCTGGTCGGGGCGGCAGTTAGATGACTGAGTCCCCCTGAGAAGGGAGTCCCTGACCACTACCAGCCTCCTCCTTCTCTTGGGAGTGGTGGTCATGGAACCCCCATCCCTAGGACAGTGCATCTCACGCGTTCCAATCGGTGGAGTGTCCTTCTGCTCCCTTCCCTCAGATGTATCATCTAGTCCACTCTCCACATTAGTACTTGTGGAGAGAATATGAAAATGGTTGCTCACCTGTATCTCCATTGCTGGTATATGGACGCTCCTCTTTCTTCTTCTGGAGGTCACATGCCGCCAAATTTCTTCACCGTCCCTCTGTCCCCGCTACGCAGCCTGCTCTGATTCTTCAGAATGTTGTGCCTGTAGAAGCATATCCTGACATCTGTTCAGGAAATCTTCATTTTCTCTTATGCAGCGCAGGGTTGATACTTGTTTCTCCAGACCTCGAACCTTCTCTTCCAATATGGAGACCAGCTTGCACTTTGTACAGACAAAGTCGCTTCTGTCCTGTGGAAGAAAGACAAACATGGCACAACCTGTGCAGGTTACAACAGCTGAATGCTCACCTTCCATATTACCTTCCTTCTAAGAGCTTCCTCAGCTGTTGCAGTAACTACTCAGAGAAGCCCACAAGATTAAAGCCTCAGTGCGCTCTACCCAGGCGAACTCCCAGGAAAACTCCCTCTATTAGCCTCCGCTGTTTGCCGCTCAGCTGGTTTGCTGCTGACTGCCTTTTTATAACAGTCAGGCCCAATCAAGACCCACCAGGAACAAAGCACTCCCAATTCACACTTTTCAAACAATCAAGCAAGCACACGGTCAAACTGACAAACTGTCCCCACAACAGACACTCAGATACTCACCAACACAGCCCCCCTAATGCAGCACTTAGTGTGCCTCGTCTTGGACAGATCCCAGGCAGACTCTGTTACTCTCCGCTGTTCGCCATGTTCCTCATCTCATGGACTATAAGACTTCTTTATGCTTATCCACCAACATTATTACTGTTAAATGTTATCAATAAGATCAAGCCAGATTCTGTCTATATTGATTGGACCAATGTGGCCAAGACAAGTCTGGTATCCCTATTTGATCCCACTCGCCTCTCGCCCTTCATGGAGGTTTCCGATCAGTTCTCACCTACTGACCCAGGATGACGACTGAACACTTCAACCTGCAGATTCTGAGGCTCTAAAACATGATTCATTAGTTCTCAGGAATAGAGATATCCCATTCATCAGAGGTACAACATATTTTATTGAATAGAGAAAAGAATCAATAATAAATGAATAGCTTCAGAAATGGAAAGATATTATCTTTGGTGTAACTGTCATCAGATTTTGCCAACTCACTCTCCTCTTCCCAGGGTACTGGATTACCTATTGGAACTGAAAATATTGGGTCTTTCTCTGAATTCCAATAGGGTTCCTTTAGCAACAGTAATCGCTTTTCACACACCTGTAGGGGTTTTTTTCACTCTTTGCTTATCCAGCTTGAGCAAGATTCCTAAGAGGTTTATTGAATATCTCCCCACAAATCAGAGATCTTACTCCAAGCTGGAACTTGAAGCTACTACTTAATTGCCTTATGAAACACCATTTTGAGCCACTAGCTACATGTTCTTTATTAAATTAGACAACCTTCATGGTAGCAATCACTTCTGCACTAAGGAGGGGAGGATTGGGAGTCGTAATAGCAGACCCCCCATTTATGGTATTTACCAGAAAGTGTCACTACGGGCACATCCAAGATTTTTACCCAAGGTGTCCTTAGAATTTCATATTAATCAAACCTTTCACCTGCCAGTTCCCTCCCCCCCCAGAACCACACTTGACTACTGAAGAAGCCATATTCCATACCAGATTCGGGGTTAGTCAATTATTTTTGTCAAGGTGAAAATTTCTTGGTCATGATATAGTCCTGATCCAGACACCAGAGAAAGTAATAAAATAACAATATTGACAATAAGTAAGGAAAAATGATTTCAGGGTCCGTTCAAAAGCATCTGGCGGTCTGCATTTGGCCCACGGTCTACCTGCTGACTACCCCTGCCATAGAGATCAGGAGAGCATTAGCCTTCTACCTAGATAGGACCAAACCATTTAGAAGATCTCCTAGACTATATGTATCCATTGCGACAGAAACATGGGTTCAGTAATTTTTTAAACAGCGGTTATCAAAATGCATTTCTGGCTGTATTAAGATTATGACAGAACTCATGTTCAGCCCTCTTTGAGAGTGATAACAGTCCACAAGAACACTATCTACATCTATAGGCTTACTTAAGGATGTACCAATTGCAGGCATCTGTAGAGCAGCAACTTCGTCATCTTTTCATACTTTTTCTAATCATCATCCTTTGTTACCTGAGGCAAAAGAAGATGCTCTAGGCAATGCAGTTCTCTCTCCTGTATTGGACTCTGCTCTGAATCTTCCACCTACATAACAGGGGTACTGCTCAGGAGTCACCTGAAGTGGAGCACACACAAGAACACTACTTGAATAAGGAGAGTTTCCTCACCTTGTGCAATAACTGGATTTCTTTGAGATGTGTGTCCCTGTGGGTGTTCCACTACCTGCTCTCCTTCCCCTCTGCTTTGGAGTCTCCCTAGTGGGTCTTTGTGGTGGAGAAGGAGCCGAGAACTGTTTAGCCATGCAACCCAAAATAGCTTCAGTGCAGAGCACGAGGATGTGTGGAGTGCAAGCGTGGGCCGATTGGGAATTGATATAAAAAATCTCTGATCAAAGGTGCAAAGATGCAAGCACACCTGAAGTGGAGCACCCATAGCGACACACATCTCGCAGAACTCCAGTTACTGCACAAGGTGAGTAACCTCTCCTACTATCTCACAGGCAGTGTCAAGCAGGGAGTGATTTGTGCGACTACTTGTGCGACTATTCAAAGAAAACAAAACATCCAGAATGTTTGACCTTCATATTTGTTTTGTTAATAATGTTTGGATACCCTGAAATTTACACACATTTGAGGCAGACAGTCACCATAATTCAGTCAGACAAGCTTGCGGGGAAAGGTTCTAGGTGGGTTGCCAGCCAGTGTAGAGGGGAGGCCCTGGAGAGGGGAACGGGGAGGTTGGATAGAAAACTCACCCTGCAGTGGTAGCTCTTGTCCCATAGAGCTGGGCCTGGCTCTGGGGTCGCAGCACCACTCACTCAAATTTAGCTCAGCCCTTTCTCTGTGATTATGGAGGGGTGGTTAGGCCAAACCTGAGCAGTGCTGTGACTCCCAAAGAGGGGAATGAGCCCAGCCCTGCAGGACAGGAGTGCAGGACAGACTCACTCTCCAGCAGCCTCCCGGAACCTCCCCTCCTCACCAAGCCTGGATTAGTGTTACTGTGCTGGGGCAGAGGGTGCTGCTGCAGGTGGTTGGTGCCACCTCAGCGGGGCATAAAAGAGGCAGAGGAAGGATTTCTGTATATTATAATTAAAGAAGTAGCATTGAATTTTCATACCATGAAAATCATTTTCCCCAATCCCATGACTTTTACTAAATTTACTGTGAATGCTCTGTGATTTTTTATTTTAAAAAAATCCATGACAAATCTTCAGCTCTATGCAAGATAATCTAACTTTTATATTATCTAGTAACTTACACTGTTAATATTGCCATTTGTTTTAGTTGAACGCAATGGATCTAACTGATGCTGCTGTGACTGCAAAAAACAAAGAAGTAACAGAATCTTCGTACTCACACAGTAAGTGCTATGACTGTATAAACGTGGAACAAATGGCAAACATTTAATAAAGAAAACTCCTTTCTCTGAAGTCTAGTTCATTGCTATTTCTTCTGCCTCATAAAGGCTAAAGGCCTTATAATTGAAGCAGAATTAAGCTTATAGTAGAATATAAATGCTGTAATTAAAAAATTTGTCTTTACTTCAGAATGCACGAAAGAAAGGAAAAATAGACATGCAACTCTTACTCACTTAAGCAGAATTTTCTTAAATATCCCCAGTTAAACAACTGGGACTACTTAGGAGCCTTACAGTGAGTAATATCTTGCTCCACAAATAGATTCATTGACTTCAGTAGGATTATTCCTTCTTTAAGGTATTGTTATTCTGGGGGTTGGGTAAAACCTCAGTGGAGCTGAGCATAACAGCCACTTTCCACTTAGGATAAATAAAGGAACAATTAAATGTCCCTTTGTTTAGAGAGAGCTGAAATAATAGGACCCACCACCTAAAACACAGACAGACCACATGTAAGGCCACTCAGGAATCTGAACTATAGGTGGAGGGGTTTCATGATGGCCTAAACCTGAATATGGGTGGGTTTGGTTTGATTGCTGTTTTGTACTGTATGTGTGAGATGAGGAACAGAAACACCACAGAAGTAGAGAAGGAACAGAGAAGCCCTGGTAGTGTAACCCGGAGAAAAAGCTAAGAGAGAGAGCTTTTGGGCTAAATACATACTAGCTAGAAAGGGGTTTGCAACAGTGAGCATAGAAGCTGTCTCCTGCTGTTTGAATCTTGAAGTGTTCAAGTAAACAGTACGTTGTGTACGTTCTTTGTAAATAAACAAGATTCCATCAAAGAAATACCTGACTGCATCACCAATTTCTTCCTCTAATGTAAATAACCCACAAGAATGAATTTTGGCTAACCTCGCGGTTCAAAAGGAGTAACAGTACTATTCAACATGAGTAAGGATTGAAGAAACTCACCCACAGTGAATAAAGTTACAGGTATTATGTCAGTGGTTTGTAACTGCTTTTAACATAAACTTTCCAGCTATGCCTCATGGTGTTTATCTGTCAGTGCTATATTTTTGTATCAAATTCACACATTGTCTTAAAATATATCCTTAGTTAACTAATGTCCAGGCTCTGTGTAATCTGCAGCCACAAAAATTGCTACCCATCACTGATGAGTAGATTACTTTAAAATCTTGAACTGAATTGTAAACTGAAACAGTGATGTTTGCCTGAAGGCTTGTCTTCACTGCAACCGTTAGCTTGAGTTAGCACACCCAAATTACTATTTCACAGCTAATCATTTGAGCAGAAACAGAATTTATGATGTAATTATGCATCATCAATGCAAAAAATCCATGGCATATCAAAAAGTGAAAGTGAGGATAGTGTAAAATAAATGGAATTTAATGGCAAAATAAGTATTACATGGGTTACTATACTGATTATATGATTGTTTCATATTTAATTCCATAAAAGCCTCCCATTTTCAATTCAAATGGAGCTCTGGAAGAATTTCCAGTCTGCTGCACTGGAGTGCCAAATTACCAGGTGGTTTTACCATAGAATATAAGTCAAGTTTGCTGAGAAGTTCACAGAAGTTCACTAAGGTTTCTTTTTATTATCATCTTTATTCAGATAGCATTGAAGCTATGCATGGTGCTGTACAATGAATAAAATGTGCCACACATCTCTTTCTGTTGCACAGTTTCTGCCCTCATTCATCACTAATGGGTTAATGCTCCCACCTCTGAAATTCAAAATCAGTCCAGTTTTGTTGCTGGAGGTTCCAGGGCAAAGCCCCACATTTCAGTTCAGGAGACAAGATTCCTTTTTGAGTGGTGTCCCTGTGGATGCTCCATTTCAGGTTCACCTGCACCTTTGATTGGAGATTTTTGGTAGCGGTATCTCTTCACCTCAGGGATGCGTGCCACACATCCCAAACTGAGACTATATGGGGATGCATGGGTGAACTGCCCACAGTTCTCTGAGCTGCCTTTTGCCTGAGATGGAGTCTTCTGTCTGCCTGTTCTCGTTATTATTCAATTTAGCAGTTAGTTAGTATACAGTTAGTTATTTCATAGTGTTGTGGGAACAGTAGTTTCCTCTTTTTTCTTTTGCTTTTTCCTTTAAAAAAAAATTAAAAGCAATTTTTAGATAAATATAGATATACAGAATTTAAAATCTTTCCCTACTGAAAGGTCAGCTTTTGTTATTTTGCTAAAAAATGCCAGGCTCCCACGGATTTAGAAGGTGCCTTTCATGCCGCAAGGCTATCCTGAGCAATGATGGGCATTCTCAGTGCCTCCGCTGTTAGGGAGATGTGTACATTCCCAGTAAGTGCAAGATCTATACTTCCTTCATGAGTAGATCCCAATGGAGCAAGCCTTAACACTGGCTTTGGGCCCAGGGGTGGCGGGCCACACTGTACATAGGTATCCTAGTACAGCTAGTGCCCTGTCCACCTGTGGAACATTCTGTTGTCAACAGTTTGAATCTAAGTCTTTGCACCACCAGAGGAAGCAGAGAAGGGCCCATTCCCCTCAACCATCTCTGCCACCACCTGTGCCAGAGGAGGAGATCTTTGAGGAGCAAGAATCAAGGGCATACAAGGAGATGACATCTCTTATTAATATTTCCTCATCATCATCCGATGAAGCTGTGATGCCTCTACTGCCTCCTATGGTGGATGCATTTGTCCTTATTGAATTATTGAATTTCATCCTATTTACTTCAAACCATTTCTCCAGTTTGTCCAGATCATTTAATCCTATCCTCCAAAGCACTTGAAACCCCTCCCAACTTGGTATCGTCCACAAACTTGATAAGTGTACTCTCTATGCCATTATCTAAATCATTGATGAAAATACTGAACAGAACCGGTCCCAGAACTAATCTCTGTGGAACCCCACTCATTATGTCCTTCCAGCATGACTGTGAACCACTGATAACTACTCTCTGGGAACGGTTTTCCAACCAGTTTTGTATCCACCTTACAGTATCTCCATCTAGGTTGCATTTCTCTAGTTTGTTTATGAGAAGGTCATGCGAGACAGTATCAAAAGCTTTACTAAAGTCAATATATGCCACGTCTACTGCTTCCCCCCTATCCATAAGGCTTGTTACCCTGTCAGAGAAGCCTATCAGGTTGGTTTGACACGATTTATTCTTAACAAATCCATGCTGATTGTTACTTATCACCTTATTATCTTCTAGACTGTAGATGTTTGCAAATTGATTGTTTAATTATTTGCTCCATTATCTTTCTGGTTAGAGAAGTTAAGCTGACTGGTCCGTAATTCCCTGGGTTGTCCTTATTTCCCTTTTTATAGATTGGCACTATATTTGCCCTTTTCTAGTCATCTGGAATCTCTCCCATCTTCCATTAATTTTCAAAAATAATTGCTAATGGCTCATATCTCCTCAGTCAGCTCCTTGAGTATTCTAGGATGCATTTCATCAGGCCCTGGTGACTTGAAGACATCTAATTTGAGTAATTTTTAACTTGTTCTTTCCCTATTTTAGCTTTTTCTGATCCTACCTCATTTTCACCGGTATTCACTATGTTAGATGTTCAACTCTTCTTGGTGAAAACTGAAACAAAGAAATCATTAAGCACCTCTGCCATTTCCACATTTTCTGTAATTGTTTTTTCCCCTTCATTGAATAATGGTCCTACCTTGTCCTTGGTCTTCATTTTGCTTCTAATGTATTTGTAGAATGTTTTCTTGTTACCCTTTATGTCTCTAGCTAGTTTGATCTCGTTTTGTGCCTTGGCCTTTCTAATTTTGTCCCTACATACTTGTGGTATTTGTTTATATTCATTCTTTGTAATTTGACCTAGTTTCCACTTTTTGTAGGACTCTTTTTTTATTTTTAGATCATTGACGATCTCCTGGTTAAGCCAGGGTGGTCTCTTGCCATACTTCCTATCTTTCCTACGCAGTGGGATAGTTTGCTCTTGTGCCTTTTTTTCTCTTTGAAAAACTGCCAACTGTCTTCAATTGTTTTTCCCCTTAGACTTGCTTCCCATTGGATTTTACCTACCAACTCCCTGAGTTTGCTAAAGTCTGCCTTCTTGAAATCCATTGTTTTTATTTTGCTGTTCTCCCTCCTACCATTCCTTAGAATCATGAACTCTATCATTTCATGATCACTTTCACCCAAGCTGCCTTCCACTTTCAAATTCTCAACCAGTTCTTCCCTGTTTGTCAAAATCAAATCTAGAACAGTCTCTCCCCTCGTAGCTTTCTCCACCTTCTGAAATAAAAAATTGTCTCCAATACTTTCCAAGAACTTGTTGGATAATCTGTGCCCTGCTGTGTTGTTTTCCCAACAGATGTCTGAGTAGTTGAAGTCCCCCATCACCACCATGTCCTGTGCTTTGGATGATTTTGTTAGTATTTGGATATGGGGGACACATGCGTAGGCCAAATGGACAATGCTACCAAAAATTTCTGATCAAAGGCACTGGGTGCAGACGCAACTTAAGTGAAGCATCCATAGGGGGACACATCTCAAAGAACTCCAGTTACTGGTGAGTAACTTCTCTTTCTGCCTCCAGCAGTGAAGCATGTTGGCAGTTCAGTTTGTGATCATTTTGTTTTAACTTTATTTTTTTTTTTTGCTGTAATGATTTATAATCTCTCTCCTGTTCCTGAATTAGCTATTTGACAGCATGGTTTCAGCCATGCAGATCATCTGTTGCAGCCCCTCCTCTTTCGGACTCCTCTATACCAATTCAGGCATGGTGGCATTGCCCCCCAAACACAGAGCTAAATTTAAGCGATGTTTCCTATGTGAGGAGCATTTACACTCTTTACAGAGGGTAAATTATACCCTGACTGTTCACAGCCAACTGACCCTCACTCTGGCAGAGCACAGGGCTCAGAGTCAGCATGTTGGTTTCCGTCCCTATTCCAAAGAGCCAGAACTCCAAGGCAGAAAAGCCTGGTCAGCAGCTTCTGAGTATTTCAGGAACAGTCTAAGGACAAGGAGGAT